AAAAAAAAAAAAAAAAAAAAAAAAAAAAAAAAAAAAAAAAAAAAAAGCCCCTTGCCTCCCGAGCAGGATCTGAGAAGAAAAATGCATTTTTACTTTCCATAACATTCCTATCCCCAGAGAATGGAGGTAATTAGGTATCTAGAGAGATTTTTCCTTTAAAGAAAAAAAAAGAGGGCAGGGATGAAATGGGCAGGGGACCGTTTCTGTGCAAAAGCAATAGAAGTTTGTGGAAGCTAAGCAGATATAACAGTAAGAACACAGGTTGGCACCATGCTTATCTCAAGCCATGGTACTCTTCTAAGTGCTTTACATAATCTCATTCTTGAACAACCTCACCGGTAGGTACTATTATTATCCCCACTTTATCCATAAGCAGTAAAGGCTTAGACAAGTTAAGTAGCTTGCCCAAGGTCACACTGCAAGAGAGCAGCAGAGCCAGGATTTGATCCCCTGGCTGTGGGTCCATGCTATTGATTATCATGGTAACCGTGGCTGTCGTGCACACAGGCACCCATTCAAATCTTCATCGTGTTCCAGACCTGTGCTCCACATGGAGGGGAGAAGATGAATTTCACACAGTCAAGGGGAGAGGTGAAACACACAGGACGTGAGTGGACTTTCAACTGAGGGACACCCAACCCAGACTGGGATTGGAAAAGGCTCCCCAGAGGAGATGATTCCCCATGATGAATCCAGACACCCCGCAGGGGGCAGGGAGAGAGTCGAGATGGAAAAAACTTGATTCAGGCAGAAGGTACAGCACCTGCAAAATCTCCGGGCAGGAAAGAATGTGTTTCGCTCAAGGAAAAGTAACTCGTTCAATATGGCTGCCATAGTGGTACCATCAGTAACAAAGGGGGGCGGGGGGGGGGGCGGGTGGAGACATCCAGACAACACCAAAGAGGCAAGAATAACATCATGAGGGACTGACCTTGTGGCCGGGCTAAGGGGTGTGGACTTATCTGAAATTCCGCAATAAACAACTGAAGAATTTTACACGTTGAAACAACGTGTAGCTCACTGGCTGTCACCAAGGGCCTGGGTTGGAGACAGCGGAGAACGGAAGCAGGACAAGGTAGGAAGGTGAGAACGGAAGCAGGACAAGGTAGGAAGGTGTTACTGTATTTCCGAACTGTAACAAGAGGCTGGGAAGATGTGCTGGAATCAGGTGGCCATGAGACCAGAGCAATGGGAATTTTTCAGATCAAGAGCAGATTTGGGGCACACAGCACAGGCAGGGCATTTGGCTCTTCCCCTCCCCCTTCCCCCTCCTTCTCCTTCCCCTTCCCTGCAAACTTCTAGCTCCCAGAGGCCCTTTCGAGGAGCTGTGCCCTTAGGTTCTATCCCAACGCATAATCTTAAAAGGCCCCAGGGTTTTCAAAAAAGCCCTTTCCCACTAGTGAAGAAATACATGCCCTCTCCTCCCTAACCCCCTTGCCACCCAAACGATTCTTGAAATTCTGATGTTAATCACTTTGGAAACATTTCTCCTTTTGCTTATTAGAATTTGCTTACATTCCCCGCAAGGAGCTTTAGGTCCTAACTGGCTTCTGTAAGCCTGAAAGTATTCTGGAAGGATTATGATTCAACATGCAATGCACATTCTTGGCCTTATTATCTGCTGCTTTCCTGGTCTGGCCACAGGTCTTGAGAACGGGCTTTTTTAATTTTTTTTTTCAACGTTTATTTATTTTTGGGACAGAGAGAGACAGAGCATGAACGGGGGAGGGGCAGAGAGAGGGAGACACAGAATCGGAAACAGGCTCCAGGCTCCGAGCCATCAGCCCAGAGCCCGGCGCGGGGCTCGAACTCACGGACCGCGAGATCGTGACCTGGCTGAAGTCGGACGCTTAACCGACTGCGCCACCCAGGCGCCCCGAGAACGGGCTTTTTTAACCAAGATCCCCATGTGGGGGGCAGGGGGCGGGGGGTGGGGGGTGGCTACCACTGGACCTCGCCTCTCATTTTTGATGCCTTGTAGAAATGCCTGTTTAAACTCAAACCTCAAAACGTACTCAGTCGTGCCCTACAGAGTCCCTAACAAATTCACTGTTCTCCTCCCATTTGAAGTAAGTTTGAAATACGACATAAAGGCAGATTGCGTTCAAGCCACCAGCATCTTGTAAACGTCCAGAATAAATGTTAAAATGCTCAATAAACACCCTAATGCTTACATAAATTTCCACTTTCCTTCCAAACAGACCTCATCGATTCTACCCACCAAAGAGGGATACTTTTGGGGGGGCTGAAAACCCTGGCCAGCCCTGGGCCTCTGAAATCGGAGTCCTGGGGATACTTCTCGCATTACAACCCGTTTGCATTTTTCCCCTTCTTCAAGTATTAAGCTTTCTTTGGCATCAATTGCTCTGAACATCAGTAAGGTGTGTCGCTTTTTTTCTTCTTTAAGTTAATTCTTCAATAACCTCCGGAGGAGAAGGGCCAGTTTGGATTTTCAGAGCAAAGGACAGTGGGGTGCTGGCCCTGCATCCCCCCACGTCCCCCGACTGCCTCCACCCAACCTCTTCGTTTCCAAACCATCGTGTCTCGCTAAAACGCTCCTTAAAACTCTCCCAAAACACCCACGATGTCCTGCCTCCCTCCTAGGAATGGAAGTGACCCTCTTGACACTGGGGACCCCTGGAAGACCAAGACCAAAAATGGGAGGGGGCGTGCTAAGAGCTGGGGAAAGCTCAACTTACCTTCACGAAGAGGGTGATGTCGTGCTCCTGTCTCGGGGCCCCCTCTTCGGACGCCTCGCCGTCCTCCCCACGGCCGTTCACCCGCGCGGTCTCCTCTGCGCCCTCGACGCTGCTCTCCTCCGCCAGGTGGTTGCTGAGCTCGGCCTCCGGCTCCGCGGCCCCGGTCGGCGCGGCCGCCTCTGGATGCGAGCTGCTGCTGTCGGGGGGCTCCTCCTCGCCCGCCCCCTCCGGGCTGCTTTCTCGCCTCTCCTCCTCTGCCTCCTCCATCTCCTCCTGGGGTCCACCCTGGTCCCCTTCCTCGACGGCTTCCGCCCTCGCGTCCCCGGGGGCCGCTTCCTCCGACTCCGCTGTCCCCGGGGCCCCCGCCTCGTCGGCAGGCCCCGCCGCTGCATCCCGAGGCTCCCCTGCCAGCTCCCCAGGGCCGCACCCGCCAATCTCCGCCGCCGCGGCCTCCGTGGCTTCGGCCTGGGGCTGGGGGCTGCGGTCCCCTCCGTCCCGGGGTTCACCCTGGGTCCCGTGCGCCCCTCCCGCCTGCCCCGCTGCGTCCATGCCGGGCCCCTGCGCCCCCGGCGCGCTGCCTCCCGGTTCCTCCGGCCCTCGCTCCGCTTTCTCCTCCGCCCCGGGGGCCTCGGGCTCCCCGGGCTCCCCCTGAACCTCCGTCGCGGCCTCGCCCTGCGCGCCGCGCCCGGGGCTCGCGTCCTCCACCTGCTCCCCGCCGCTCGCCCCCTCCTCTCCCTGGGGGCCGTCGGCGCACCCCGGGGCGCCCTCCCCGGCCTCCG